CGGATCGGAACAATCGGCACAGACCTACGCGACGAAATAAGGACTACGATTGGAAACTCGGAACATGGAACTGCAAATCGCTCGGCTTCCCGGGTTGCGATAGGTTAATCTATGACGAACTTCAACCACGCAACTTCGAAGTCGTAGCACTGCAGGAACTTTGCTGGACGGGACAAAAGGTGTGGAAAAGCGGGCATCGAGCGGCTACTTTCTACCAGAGCTGTGGCACCACCAACGAGCTGGGAACCGGCTTTGTAGTGCTGGGTAAGATGCGCCAACGCGTGATTGGTTGGCAGCCGATCAACGCGAGGATGTGCAAGTTGAGGATTAAGGGCCGTTTCTTCAACTACAGCATAATCAACGTGCACTGCCCACACGAAGGGAGACCCGACGACGAGAAAGAAGCGTTCTATGCGCAGCTGGAGCAGGTGTACGACGGCTGTTCGCAACGGGACGTCAAAATCGTCATCGGTGACATGAACGCTCAGGTAGGACGGGAGGCAATGTATAGACCGGCAATCGGGCCAAACAGCCTGCATGCCGTATCGAACGACAACGGCCAACGATGCGTGAACTTTGCAGCCTCCCGGGGTATGGTAGTTCGAAGTACCTTTTTCCCCCGCAAGGATATCCACAAAGCCACCTGGAGATCACCTGACCAACACACAGAAAACCAAATCGATCACGTTCTAATCGACGGGAAATTCTTCTCCGACATTATCAACGTCCGCACGTACCGCAGTGCGAACATAGATTCGGACCACTACCTAGTTGCAGTATGCATGCGCTCAAAACTCTCGACGGTGCATAACACTCGTCGAAGTCGAACGCCACGACCCAACATTGAGCAACTACGGGACACCGGAGTTGCCCAGGACTACGCGCAGCAGCTGGAAGTTGCACTACCCACGGAAGAGCAGCTTGGCGCAGCTTCTCTTGAAGATGGCTGGAGGGACATCCGTTCAGCCATAGGTAGTACTGCTGTAGCGGCACTAGGTACTGCAATCCCGGACCGAAGAAATGACTGGTTTGACGGCGAATGCAAACTGTTAGTAGAGGAGAAGAATGCAGCACGGGCGAGAATGCTGCAACACCGCACGAGATTGAATGTGGAGCGATACAGACAAGCGCGGAACAGACAAAACTCGGTTTTCCGAACGAAGAAGCGTCAGCAGGAAGATCGAGATCGCGAGGCGATGGAAAATCTGTACCGCGTAAACGACACACGGAAGTTCTACGAGAAGCTAAATAGTTCGCGCAAAGGCTACGTGCCGCAAGCCGATATGTGCAAGGACTTGGACGGTAACCTTCTCACGAACGAGTGTGAGGTGATTGAGAGGTGGAAGCAGTACTATGACGAGCACCTCAACGGTGAAGCAGCAGAAAACGAAGGTGGCACGGCAACAGACCTTGGAGCACGCGCAGAAGACGACAGGCTACCGGCCCCTGATCTTCAAGAAGTTGAGGAGGAGATCGGTCGGCTGAAGAACAACAAAGCAACTGGTGTAGATCAACTACCAAGTGAGCTATTGAAATACGGTGGTGAAGCACTGGCTAGAGCGCTGCACTGGGTAATTGCCAAGATTTGGGAGGAGGAGATATTACCGGAGGAGTGGATGGAAGGTGTTGTATGCCCAATCTACAAAAAGGGCGACAAGTTGGATTGCTGCAACTACCGCGCGATCACACTGCTGAGCGCCGCCTACAAGGTACTCTCCCAAATTCTATGCCGCCGTCTGTCACCATATGCAAGAGAGTTCGTGGGGCAATACCAGGCGGGATTCATGGGTGCCCGCGCTACCACGGACCAAATTTTCGCGATTCGGCAGGTTCTGCAGAAATGCCGCGAATACAACGTGCCCACACATCATTTGTTCATCGATTTCAAATCCGCATACGACACAATCGATCGAGATCAGCTATGGCAGATTATGCACGAGTACGGATTTCCGGATAAACTGACGCGATTGGTCAAGGCGACGATGGATCGAGTGACGTGCGTTGTTCGAGTATCGGGGACACTCTCGAGTCCCTTTGAATCTCGAAGGGGGTTACGGCAGGGTGATGGACTTTCGTGTCTGCTGTTCAACATCGCGTTAGAAGGTGTGATCAGAAGAGCTGGGATAGACACGAGTGGCACGATATTCAGGAAGTCCATCCAGCTCCTTGGTTTCGCCGATGACATTGACATTATGGCACGGAACCTTGAGATGATGGCGGAAACGTACATCAGACTGAAGGCTGAAGCTAGACGGATTGGACTTGCCATCAACGCATCAAAGACAAAATATATGAAAGCAAGAGGTTCTAGGGAAGACAATGTTAGCCTCCCACCCCGAGTTCAGATTGACGGTGACGAAATCGAGGTGGTCGATGAGTTCGTGTATTTGGGCTCACTGGTGACCGCCGAAAATGATACCAGCAGAGAAATTCAAAGACGCATTATGGCAGGGAATCGTGCCTACTTTGGACTCCGGAGGACGCTCCGGTCGAATAAAATTCGCCGCCGCACGAAGTTGACTGTCTACAAGACGCTGATTAGACCGGTGGTCCTTTACGGCCACGAGACCTGGACTATGCTCGTGGAGGACCAACGCGCCCTTGGTGTTTTCGAACGGAAGGTGTTGCGTACCATCTACGGTGGAGTGCAGATGGATGACGGAACGTGGAGAAGGCGAATGAACCACGAATTGCACCAGCTGCTGGGAGAACCATCCATCGTCCACATTGCAAAAATTGGGCGACTACGGTGGGCTGGGCACGTCGTAAGAATGCCGCACGACGACCCAGTGAAAATGGTTCTAGAAAGCGACCCAACAGGAACAAGAAGAAGAGGCGCGCAGCGGGCAAGGTGGATCGACCAAGTAGAAGGTGACCTGCGGACCCTTCGCAGACTACGAGGCTGGCGAACTGTGGCCATGGATCGAGTAGAGTGGAGACGACTTCTTCGGACAGCAGAGGACAACAAGGCCTTAGCCTGATTGGTAAGGTAAGTTGAGGGCATTCAAGCCAAATGTAACAAATATATAAAATGTTTGTATCCTCTTATTAACAGGAAATCCAAACTTTGCCTGACGAATAAACTTCTAATATTTAAACAAGTTTTTAGACCGGCCATGCTTTACGCTGTGCCAATATGGTCTAGTTGCTGCACTACCAGGAAAAAAGCACTTCAAAGGATTCAGAACAAAATTCTGAAAATGATTTTGAAGTTGCCTCCCTGGTACAGTACAACCGAAGTACATAGAATTTCGAATGTTGAGACTTTAGCACAAATGTCCAACAAAATAATTAATAATTTCAGGCAAAAATCGTTGCAATCCTCAATTGCAACGATTAATTCCCTTTATACTTAGATAAGATTTAGTTTTAGTTTTTAGTTTTAAGATATCAATTGTTATACTGACATGCAGGTTAAAAAACCTGTTTAAAATACTGAATTGCCAAGACATGAACAATGTAAAAACACTTAGATATATATCATAACAATTAAGGCTGGTACGTTACTGCAGTAACTGGAGCACCTAGGTTAAAATGAAATGTAATTTATTTTGAATTTGGAACAAATAAAGAGTTAAAAAAAAAAAAAAAAAAAAAAGTCGTTTATCGAATTACATGACAAGAAAATTAGATCATACGTCAATTCAAGCTCGTGTAATTTTCAGTTTTTTTTAGAGTGTGCGACTATCGCCACCGATTGAATGTGTGGTATCCGGAATGCTACGCTCCCAGACCACATACCAGCGTGCGAAACGTAGTCATACCAGGCACCCCACGCTTCCAGATCTGCGCGTGCCCCGTGTGGTTCCGAGTAGTTCCTTGGTGGCGACCAAATCGAACTAGGCCAACGTGTTTCATCGAGTGACACCATCTACGTCGGCGATCGCGGCCGAAAACATTCTGCTGTATAAATAACTATGGTTTAGTGAATTTTTCTGCTGTTTTCTGCTATTTCCGCCTTGCCATCTACCCCACCGTCACACAACTTCACCACGTTTTACGGTATGTGAAAATTGGAATTTGATATCAAAAGATGTGGTTTTTGGAATACAACGACCCAGACTTAATTTATCTAATTTAGCAATTTTTAACCTATTGCATTAGGGATGGAAAATTCTTGAATAATCAGTCAGAATCTATGATTTGTTCATAGACAATTAAATAATCTCATCCCAGGATGCTTGGTTGCTTGGACCGACTCATTCAGATATCCAAGAGCGTACATATTTCTCCTCAAATTCAAGAGCACTATGAACGTATAGATTCAAACTCGCAGTAGGTTCACACCTCCATACAAATCTCATTAGGACACTTATCGTAATCATTATTTATTGTTTGTTTTTATATCTATTGAAATTGCAACTTACCTCACTCAGTTTGATTTCAAGTCGGATACGTTCAACATGGAACGTTGATTCGTGTCTTTACACTCATTGCAGCAAACATCATGCGGGAAAAACTTCTCGCCGAGTCCCAAATATCGTAAGTAGCTTGATCCCGGTTTGTAAGCGATACACAATCGATATCATTGTAATACGGTTTGAACTTATCATGCAAATGTGTTCAACTAAATATATCAACTATTTATAATAAACCAGACATCATACACAAATGGTAAGTAAACGAAAGAAGATTCATTGAACACCTACCTTATCAGTGACACCAAGCGTCTGTATTCCTAGTACGTTCCTCTGTAGTCGTTGGATCCCATCCGCGGCGACGACTGTGCACTTTCATTCAATAAAGGGTCGGGAGTGTGAAGTCATTGTGCATCTGCCAATGCCGGGTTCCGATAAGTCCATATTAACAATAACAACAACGACAACACGGTGATTCGTTATCAGTGCCCGAACCGTGGTCGGTATGGTATCGGTGTATGATTGTTTGTCTTCTTATCACACAATCGTTTGAAGGTATATGTGTACCAACCGATATGATAGCCAGCTCCTGTGGATCGGTCCGAAGGGCAATTTTTGCATAGTAGTCTCAAACTGTCCATCGGAAAGACCGGATCAAACGAACTGCTGCAGAAGAAATTTGCAAACGTGAATGAGTCACAGCGTTCTGATAGTTAGCGTTGAACATCTGCCCGTCATCAGTGCGCGTTTGTGTGTGATAAGAGAGTGATGTCATAAGCCGCTCCGAGATTGTATTTTCTTCAGCAGTATGGATGCGAACGATACAGACTGTACTTACCAGTTCCAAAGGTGCATATAAGTGATTTTTTTTTGTTACAACAAATGTGTGCTTATTGCGTTGAAGAACAAATTTGAACGAATTTTCTATTAAGTTGATCCTATGCAGCGACTTAATAACTAATCCGATGAATCGTTGTTACTTTGTAGCTTGGCGTCGACTGAGAATAACGAAGCATACGGATGGATAAAATCTGAGTCAACGTGCAGCCTGTCGGAAGCGGAAACCTCGATTAGCGATCCGAAGAAAGTGAGTAAGTACCCTAACACATTTCATGTATAAACTAACCATTTTAGGGGAGAGGTTGTGCTGGTATGGCCTTCACGTTATCAAATGTGTTCGGTTCGTTAGTTTTATGCTCCATTGTCCATCACTTTTAGAAATGTCGGATTCGAATCATACTCAAGGAAAAAGAGCCGTTTTTCAAGTCGTGTAGATCCTTCACCGGTACCGGTAATGTTTTTTTTTTTTTTTTTTTCTCTATTTTTGTGATTTTTAGCCGTAGGCTAGTTCATCACATACCGGTAATGTTAACTCCAGTCAGCATAGAATTATTTTCAACCAAGCTCCTTACGCACACACACAATCAACTTATTGGAGATCCGATTACTCTTATCGCCTTTTTCTCGTTGATTTTTTTTCATGGTCTCTTCAATATCGAGATATGTAGATGAATGTACCAAACACCTACATACCTCGATATTGAAGACACCATCAACATACACAATAGTAACTTCATAAGTTTAGTTGTACGGTGCTATAGAACCTTTTTTTTACTGATCTCGAATTCAAAATAGCCCCTCCCTTTATAGTTAAGTAAGCTGATGATTCATTCTTCATTCCTCAGGGTGGCTACCTATTCGGAAAAAGCGGGAAATACGGGAAAAAGTCGGGAATACAAAATCATCGGGGTAAATGAAGGAAAAAGTCGGGAATTCCATCGAGGATTTAGGATATTTTTTTTTAAATTTTGGACGAATTTGATTTATACAGTCAAACTCTCTAATTGAAGAGCAAATTGAAATCATGAAAGTTAATCAGTATTCCCCCTTTTCTCAAAAATGAATTTTCATGGCCATTAAATAGATATAATATCGATTGAAAAATTAAACAATAGCTATGAAATCGAGCATCAATTTTTGCTCGAATAGCTTTTTGTACATATGAAAAAGGAACGACACCTGTAAACAGTGCTGTCATCAAGGGGTAATCAACTCTGCACACTGTGCCGAAGCTCAGCATGGCACACTGCTCGGCATGTTAGGCAACACGTTGACAAGTAGAATACAAAAAATATAACATAATATGTATCACTGTCGAGCGTTGACGTTTTGTCAATCGTTGCTAAGGATGAATACTTTGTTTACTCCAATGTTAAGCCCAATTAGTTCGTGCCACATTTCGGAAAATCTGTAAGTATTTTCTACACCATGATCTCAACGAAACTAACAAAACCCTGTCCATCTAATTTGATTCGCAGCGAAAACCCCTGCGGTTTGTGGTTTTGTATGGAATGCGATCGGAGAAATCTTCGAGTTTGCCTTTGGTGTAAACAGGTTGGTACATTAAGTTCAAAAACAAACCGGAAGACATTGAACGTCAGTTTATGCACGATCGCAGTGTAGGGCTAGGGACGAATCTTCTCTAAACGGTGACTCGATTGTGTAGAAGAAATATTGAAAAAGTCTGTTTTCAACTCGGTTTTCAACGGTAGTCGAGCAGACGGATGATGTTCCAGAGATGTTCCTGACACATGTGCGCAAAACGTACAACAAAGGCAACAAAGCGAAATGGGAACAGCCGGAAAAATATCCTGCATCATGCGATGGTCAAATTTACACTTGGAACGAAGGATAGGGCAGGATATTCTATAAGAGTCGAGCTACATTTACATGTTTGTTATGAAGAATAACTAATAAATGTTCATCAACCTAACGTCCTTCGGAAAAACGTCCTTCAGCCTAACGTACTGCAGCTTAATGGCCCAGCTCCGAATAATCAATAAAGACAATACGATTATCATAGGAGTTTTAGGCCAGGTTCGGCTATCGGTTTTACCTCCGGTATGAAATTTTTCTCGTTTTCCGCTGAGTGTTTCCTCAGATAGTGTTGCATACCATTCAGTAATATTCCTAGAATTGAGTGGGTCTCTGTCACTTGTGAAATGACAAAAATCACGTCGTGTGACGTGACTCTACCAGGTCTACTCTACGAGTCGTGTGACTCTCTGTCACTAGTAAGGTGACTCTCCATTTGATTTGCACGGAGATTCACCTCACTAGTTCAACTTGTTCATCGCAAGAGGCCCCGGTGCGATGGGTGGCCTACCGATCGGTCAACTGTAAAGCCTTGCTGAATTTAGAAAATTAGCCTCGCTGCAGAGTGATTATCGGTGCGCTCACCGATTCCCGCTTGACGACCCTATGCAATTTGCTATTTAGCAACAGCCTCGCAAGAGCCTATGGGCGTGCAGATGAGCCAATTACACTGTGCAACACAGATTTCCAGATTCCAATCCGGCTCATCCAGAGATTACGAGTTATCTTCTTGCAGGAATGGCTGTCCGTCCGAGTTCGTTGTTTGCTTTAGTTGTAGAGGATTACAAAGGATGCCGGTGGCATTTTATTCCTCCATCGATCAGGTTATGACTTTGTTTCTGCACACCTGAAAGTAATGAGTAATTCAAATAGAATTTGCATCAGAATTTTTAGGATCGGTTGAGATTGCTTGAACACTACTCCGAAAATGAAAAATCTAACTCAATAACAAATTTCACTATAACTTCAGGGTTGCCAAACTCATGGGATAGTGACGCCTTGATTGGCACACTCCGGCCTACTTGGGCACTTTCGGCAAAACACATGGCACAGCTAAATTTCATGGCACCTATTAAGGTGGTGTCATGAAGAATTTAGAACTGGTTACTCACTGATTTTCCATACGTGCGTCCGACCATCTCGAATTCATGCGTCACCTTTAAGGAGCGACTATAATTGTAATTTGGGAATTTACACATAATTTAGCTCACTCTAACTAAATCTGGGGTACGGGTAAAACTTGTCTGCAATCAGGTCGCCATAAAACTTAAAAATACTAATCTAAACTCTACGATGTATTATGTCAGACGTTTCGGAATTGGCCTTTCTCAGGGAACATAAAGTCGACAGTGAGCATGCATAAGGGCGAATACGCGATGATCGATTCTCTTCATCGATTTTCTCTTTGCATTGCTGCAGCTAAGCGAAACAGTTTTCTAGAATTTGTTCAATTCAGAGTAAAAACAGGTTGTATTGGCTATCATAAGCAACAGCAAACGCACCGAGAAACGTTAAATCTAGCGAGTTATTAACAAAAGAGAAAATCGACAAAGAGAATCGATCATCGCGTATAGGCCCTTATGCATGCTCACTGTCGAAGTTATGCCAAATCTCATCTCCTGGATAGAAACGTTAACTGTAATCAGTGTTGGTAAAATATCAAAAGATCAAATCCCACCAATGAGAGATTTTTACTGTACACCTGAACACAAAGCGAAACTTTCATAACGGCTGGCAGCAGTAACTTCGTGTCTGCCATCTGTGAAGAGTAAGAGAGGTATCAAACTATGCTTTCTCTTTCTAAAAAAACGATGTGCAACGGAAACATTTTTGTGTTGAGTCAACTCGTAGCTACAATTTTACGTGTTGTGAATAGTCCCCACAATATCAAAGGAGCGTGGAAAATCAATATAATGCGTGAAATTGGGAGTAAATCATTTGAGTGAGCATAACGCCATCACTGACTATAATCAACACTTTTTCTTGAAGACTGAAAAACCAGATCATATTACGAGTTCTTCTAGATTTTTGAAATTCCCCGTAAGTCTACCCTATTAATTGAGCTGTCTTAAAATTCTTCGGTCTATGCAGAAGCTCCCAAAATTTACCTGTTGATTTTGGTACATAATTGCTTGAAGCTCATGGAACTCCCTTTCAAATCTGTAAATTTCTCTGAGCCTTTCTGCACTTGGCTGGAGTTTTGTTCTTTCATGAAGTTCCCTAAATTTACAAGATTATCTCGGTAATTGAAAATTCGATGTGAATGTGCATTTATAGCCTACGCTGGCGGCCATTTGTGGACTCTACAAGGAATCACCTTAAACTGCTCTCTGGACTTCCCTGAAATTTCCGGTACTTCTTATAGTTTCTGAAAATTTTCCTGCAGCTCATGGTGCTGTACTGAATTTATAGAATTTTACATTTACAGATCTTAGTACTATTTAGTATCCTCTCCCAAAAACTACAGATCTTTAAACTTCATCGAAAGTCTGAACATAAGATCTTAAGATCTCTGAGCATCCCTGGACATCCCTGGACATCTCTAAACCAAGTTGCCAAAACCTAAGTTGAGTCAAAATATCTTAAAGTAACTTACGTATCTTCGAGCAGTCCTGAGAACTCAGACCATGATTATCAGGAAAATTGTGAGAATTCTAGATAAACATTTCAAAAGGTCCTATCTGCATTGATGAACATTTCAAATGGCCCTATCTGCTTTGATCGATTCTCTTCATCGACTTTCTCTTTCCATAACCACTGCTATGTAAACAGATTTCGCGCTAATTCTCCCACATAGTTTGATAAAGGAGATTCTTATCTAGCGTCCAAAACGTCAAATACAACAGGGAAAGGTTTTGCAGCTGAGTTATTGACGAAAGAGAAAGTCGATGAAGAGAATCGATCAAAGCAGATAGGGCCATTTGAAATGTTCATCAATGCAGATAGGACCTTTTGGAATGTTTATCTAGAATTTTCACAATTTTCCTGATAATCATTGTCTGAGTTCTCAGGACTGCTCGAAGATACGTAAGTTCCTTTAAGATATTTTGACTCAACTTAAGTTTTGTCAACTTCTGTTAAGTTTCTGCAACTTTTCTGAACTTAATGGGACTGCCCTGAAGCTCTTTGATCCTCATTGATTTTTTAGAAATTTTCCTGAAATATATCGAACTGCCACTACCGGAACGTATCTGAAGAATCTTAAAACTTGCCCGTAGTTCTAGCCGTTCTTGAAGTTTTCGGGACTACCCTTAAGTTTTTTGTAAATTTCTTTAAATTCTTGGAAATTCCAAGAAATTCTCATTCTTAAAGATTCCCGCATTTTTTCCGATGGTAATGGATATAAAGTTTAAATTTTCAAGTTCTCGGAACTTTATTAAAAATACCACAAATTTCCTAACGTTCATGAAACTCCCAACTTCTTTAAAAAATTTCTGGACTTTGTTCTTGGAAAATCTGTAAAGTTCCTGCATTTTTATCTGAAGTTTATTGAACTGTGCTTAACTTCTCAAATTTTCTCTTAAGTTTTCACAAATCCAAAGTTCCTAAATTTTCTTGAAGTGAATAAAACTTTCGCAAAGATCTCTGATCTTAATCTTAGTTCACGAGGTTTTCCTGAAGTTCCATTAACTGCCTTGTAGTTTTCGGAATTTACCCTTGAAGATCTCAATGTTCTGAACTTTTCTAAAGTTCTCGGAACTTACCTGAAGTTTGTAGAATTTCTCTAATTTTTTCGGATATTCCCTAAAGTTCTTGGAACATTCCTGAACTTTTCGAAATTGTTCTATTAAGCTCCTATTTCTCTGATTTTTTCCGGACTTCCTTAAATTTATCAGAACTTCTTTAAATTTCCTCTAATTTTCTGGTGCTGATGGAGTTGGTGATGCTGCTGTTGCTACTGCTGTTGCGGAAAATGAGGTTGTATTACTAGGAGCTGTAAAAAATGATGGCGTGGATATCGTGACGGCATCTGCTGGTCCTGGTGAATTGATTCTAAGACCGTGAAGTGTTGGTCAGCTTGTCTTTATACTGACCGGTTCTCTCAAATTACTGTAGATGCGGAAAATCACTCCAGGGTGGGATATCCATGAATGACCATTCAATCTCTCCCTCGTGCAAAAGCTCATCGCGGTTTCTCACTATTAATTCCATAAAAGTTTCGGAAGAATTTCACTGTATTCTCCAGACATTTTTCCCAGAATGAGCTTAAAACTATCCTCGGAATTCCCTTGAAATTTTCCTCAACATCCCTTAGGAATTTCATTCAAAATTTGATTCTCTCGGTATTTTTTTCGTAATTATCTTCGAACTATCTGCAGGATTCACTAGAAATTATTCGCAGAATTATCATGGAATCATCCCCAGAAATCTTTTCTTTTGGAACTGTCCTCAAAATTCAATACCCTTGAGGTTCTTCTTGGAAGTCAAGTTTAAGTTGTTAATTAGACTGATGCAAATTTTGACATTTTCGCTCCACAGTGCTCAAACATTTCCAAATCGGGTCCTGATTAGTCTCCCAAAATTTGAACTCATTTGAAAAGAAACTGACTTCGCACAAACCATTTGAAGTTTATATGGAAATTACTATGGGAAAACCAAATGTTTTGTTCATATCCATCTAACAATTTACAATATAGCTCTGCTTTAAAAAATGATAACTTAGCTCGTAGAAAATTTTCTCAGCTACAACTTTGTCCTGAACCACTTTTCAATATAATGTTAGCATCAAAAGTTATCAATAATTCAAGCCCCTAATGTCTTACGAATATGCTCAATCAACTGTTCAGCAGGCAACATTGGTGTTTCTGGCGCTTGGAATAGAGCACAAAAATCATGGCTACTATGTCACACTGCAAGATACAGTGTTGCTCACAAAACAGCTGCTTGATCATGCCATAAGATTATCAATCTCTTAAACAATTAATAACTATTTTATTTGACGTTTGGCTCAACAACTACATTCAGCTAAGTTGAAGCTGAGAAAATTTTCCATAAGTATAGCTTTTGAATTTTTGAACAGTGCCATATGGAAAAAGGTAAGAAGACAATGAACAAAAAGTTTGGATTTCCCATAGTAATTTCCATATAAACTTCAAATGGTTTGTGCCAAGTCAGTTTCTTTTCAAATGAGTTCAAATTTTGGGAGACTAATCAGGACCCGATTTGGAACCGTTTGAGCACTGTGGAGCGAAAATGTCAAAATTTGCATCAGTCTATTGTCCATCCATTCCGCAAAACGTTGTAGTTTTTATACCAGAAATGTTCAATAAAGCTTGCCCCTCCATTCACCAGAGCTGTGCAATTTTTACATTAGGAATTTTCGATTCAGTTTGCCCTTCCATTCAGCAGATTGTTGCAAATCTTACACCAGAAATTTTCAATACAAACTTGCCCTCAGGTAATTTTACACCTGAAAATTTCAACTGTCCAGAACTATGCGAATTTTTCACCGTTAATGTTCAATAAAAATTTCATCCCCAATCTTCTGATTGGTTTAGATTTCCTTTTTTCCATTTTCCACCAGACATTTTTTAATAAAGCTGGTTTCTCCTATCATCAGAATGTTGCAGGTTTTCCACCAAATAAAGCTTCCCCCTTTTTTCAGATTTTTCATCATAAATATTCAGTAAAGCAGTTTCCCTCCAATCGTCAGAATGGTGCAAATTTTTATTGCAAACAAATGAATGCAGGATGCAAATTTAAGACCAAAAATTTTCCGAAAAGCTTGTCCATCCGTTTACCAGAACGGTGCAGATTTTCCACCAGAAATTTTCAATATAGCTTAATTTTAAATAAAGCTTGTGCCTTCATTTAGCAAACCAGTGCAAGTTTTCCACCAGAAATTTTCTGTTCATTTCATTAATCAGAGCAATGCAAATTTTGCACCAGAAATTTTCAATAAAGCATGCTCCTCCATTCACCAGAACGGTGCACCAAAAATTGTCAGTGAAGTTTGTTTCACCATGCACCTTTGTGGTGCAATTTTCAGGCTTTGCCTCTTCATGCACCATAAATTTTCAATGAAGCTTGCATTCATCAGAACGATGCAAATTATGCACCAGAAAAATGAATAAACCTTGCTTCTACATTCACCACAGTGTTGCGAACTTTACACCAGAAATTTTCAGTTAAATGCGCACCTTCTTCTTTTAATCCTCCATCCTCAAAAAAAAAAAATTACACCTGCATTTTGTGTATGTACTGTGATGCAATTTTATGACCAAAAAATTTCATTGAAGTTTGACCCTATATGCACATTTCAAGAGCCACATGTGAAAAGGGCATACAAGCTTTTTGTAAACAAACCTTTGCAGGCCCTTTTCTCGCCTATCAAGGGTCGCCCACGCAAACCACGCAAACAACATCATCGGGAAGAAGAAAGTTTCCCCTACCGAGTGATGTTGATGGTTTTGGTGAGTGTCATATGGGTAGCAAGAAAAGAGCATAAGAAGGTTTGTTTACAAAAAGCTTATATGCCCTTTTCACATGTTGTTCTTGATTTGTGGTGCAATTTTCAGGCTTGGAATTCTCGAAGGAATCTTCTCGAAGAAAATCTCTCAATCTCGAAGGAATTGACGTAATAAAAGGTTTTCTGTGCCCTTATATTATGAAATGAAGTTGTTTTACCTTCAAATCAAGTAATCAAAAAATCAAGTTATTTTATGTCATAATTTTATAAATGTGGAAATAAATATCTTATTTATAAAAGGGGGAGCAACTGCCCTACCTTGCCCCACCCTGTGCACGCCAGAGCTTCTTCAGCGTGACCCACTTCGATCTCTCTGAATAATTCAAGTTCTTTTTGTAAAACTTCAAATCAACCATGCAAAAGAGATCTTCAAGCGCAACCTCACGAACACCAAAATCCAACGTCCATATATAAAAATGAAGAAGAAGAAGAAGAAGAAACAGAAATGTATCGCGATATCACAACTAGGGGAAATGACGGCTTCGGCATGACAGACTATTTTCGGCAACGCAAATTGAAACACTATTTTCACTGGATTTTCTTACGAAAACACTTCGCTGAATGCATGCAAACGATTCTTTATGCTTCCAGCTTCAATTTGACTATATTTTTACCACTGAGAAAAAGCAATCTAGCAAGGTTTTCTTGAAATGCAACACACGCACTACAAATTGTAGCAGATTTCGAGTTGCCGATAATAGAACAGTAGATTTACATGCAGTTCAAATGGAACGGTTGCCGAAGAAAAACTGGTTGCCGACAATACTCGCTCTCACTAGAGAAGATTGGAGCTTTGTAAAAGCGTTTCAAAACAGTTTTTGACCATTCTTTCGACTGAAATTGTTAGAGCAGCTGGCAGCAAAAGATTGTAAACAAACCAATACTGCATATGTGTGCGTTCCTTAAAGAAAAAGGCTATAGAAAGAACGTCACTGCTTAGGTTGCCGAGAATACGTAAATTCCCCTACTTAAAAAGGTAGCGCGCGGTCTCACGCACACTTTTATGCATCTGGAGAACTCTATAGGTTAAAGTCGAAGACATCATATCAACAGGACTGGCAACTCTTACATTTTCTCAAACGACCGGCATGAGACAGGCACAATCGCTGACGCTCAAAGGTAAATACTCCGAACGAATTGGATAGCAAAGGTTCCATCCTCAGAAGAAAGGTTAGTGCATTTGCTCATGTTTCTATGCGTTGCTTCCATCTTCGCTCAAGCACAGCGCTACTGTGTCTGTCGCTCGGGTTCAGACAAAGTTGCCAGTCTTCTTGATAAGTCTTATATAAGTGAGGCACGGATTCAAACAAACTGCCTTGACAACCATATGCCTGGGTGGTTTCTATCAACACTGCCAATGCAATCAATTGATAGCCGCTGCTCGATTAACTCTGGCTTTGATAGTCCATTTGCCTCAAAACCAGCCAGTCCACTCCTCTCTTATACTAGACCCCTCTCTACTATAGAGCATTAACTTTTCCAGAACGAAGAGTTCGCAATAACGTGCGCAGCACCAGAGTCAACTCGGCGTACACACCTCACAATCGTTTATCACGCTACAAAACTGCACTGAACAGTATTATACCCTTCCGAACCAGTAATACGGGGTGAGTGTTCCAACCATCGTCATTCCTAGCACTTATAATGTATACAATCGTTTCCCTTCCAGATCAACCGATCTCCCGGTAGACAATGTCGGTTGCATGTCAAACAGTTCCTTTTCGTGGGTCCGAAAGTTCCTCATCACCCCAGCGCAGCAGCGAACCTACCAAAGTCTTCCAACCAATGCGGCCAACAGCAACCAAAACGATGCGTTTCTTCTACCAAAACGACCATTCAGCGACAGCTGCGAAGTGAACTGCCGACGACTTCTCGGCATCTACAAGTATGAGGAAACCATGAATGGACGCAAGAAGGTTTCCATGTTCAAAGTGGTCTGGAGATTCACCCGAACTCGTCTGCTTATTGCGTCCATGTTTCAGTGCTTCGCGATGTTGCTGGAATTTATGGGTGTGGTAATATTTTCCAATTTAATCACCGAATCCATGCAGACTGTGGTAACGAGAGGGTGCCAGAGTTGCCCAGCCATCTCCAATTGCTCCAACGTTCCACCGATGATACTCGGTATAAAGTTTGGCATGAATTGGGGCGTTTGCAACAGCACGACTAAGGTGACAGCGTCCGATGGACGAACTGATCGTTTGCTGCTTTCGATGGGCGTGTTTCTAGTCTTCTTCATGGCGATGTTCTTCAACAGTGTGAAAAACTGGCTGAACCTGCGGACGGCAATACGACTGCGAACGGCCATCCTCTCGTCGGTCTACAAACGCGCCGTTAAGAGCAACATCGTAAACCAGGTTTCGGCTCACCAGATTATGACGATGGCGAACGGAGAGAGTGAAGCTGTTTTTCAGATAGTGGAATCAGGTGTTCAAATGATAGGTATCATCTTTGGATTTGTGTTGGCCTTTGTATCTGGGCTGATACTGCTCTCGATATCGGGTATTCTACCTCTGGTGGGATCACTTCCTCTTCTGCTCCTGCTGATAGTAACGGGTAACATTTCGAAAACGTACTACAGGAAATTCCTAGCTTTCGGATCAATGAAGCTATCTGTGGTGGAAGACATTCTCTTAAATTTCAAAAACGTAAAATCTCTCCAGTTGGATACGATTCTCATCGATAGATTCATCGACTGTCTCAGCCGGCAGTACAGAGCCCTCAAGTGGTGCATCATTTATTCAACGAAATTCACCGGTGGCGTAACTTCCGCCATTCTCGTCGGAGGGCTCTACCTGATTTGGTGTGACGTCAATATAAAAACCGAAAGCACTGAAGTATTGATATTGCTGCTGGTCTTCGCATATCATGTTCAAAAAATCACACTGGATTTCTGTCACTGCATCCATCACATCCTACAGGGAAAGGCATCCCTTGAAAAGGTGAAGCAATCGTACCAACTATCAACTCCGGACAATGTGCGCCTAAAGCCGAATCGGGAAAATTTGGTAATTCAGATAAATGATCTGGAAGCAGCGTGGCCCAGCGTTGATGGAAAGTCGAATGGTTTCAAGCTATGTTTGGACAGCTTTGAAATCGTAAACGGTCAAATAATTGGCGTGACGGGTAATTCTGCAACTGGGAAGACAACGCTGTTGCATACAATCCTGCGCAATACGGAAGTCAAGAAGGGAAAGGTGCTGCAAAGGGGTAAAATGGCATTCTTCCCTTCGGAACCAGTGTTGGTGAATACCAGCCTGAAAGAGAATGTACTTTTCGGAGAACCGATGGATCCACAGCGGTAAGTGTCCCCCTTTTGTCGTCCCTCCCCTCAAGTCCGTCGTTAATAGCATGTTCTTCTTTTGATGACCTAGATACTACTTCGCCATTCACGCTATGAAGCTTAACGAAGACATCCTACAGGCAGCTGGCACCGATGACATTCCTATCACCTACCTGGAACTAACAGCCCAACAATTGGAAAGAATTGTTCTGGCTCGAGCAATTTACTGCCATCGACAGATTATCGTTCTGGATGAACCACTGACCTGTTTCACAAATCTTCGGGAAGCGAAAGAATTGTTCGTGCAGATGATCAACACCTTTAAGCAGGAAAACAAAACCATCATACTGGCCACTCGCTTCGATGATGTAAGTTCGGATTGTCATTCTCTTAAATTCTCTCTTAGGAAAATTTGATGATTTATTTTTGTCATTCAGTTCCTTCAACATTGTGATCGCGTTTTCCGAATTGAAGATGGGTCAATTTACCGCGAGGGAAGCTACGCCGAAATATTGAATATGCCGTCGCACGTGGAAATGACCCGGAGGTGCAACATCGAAACGATCAGTCGTAGTGCATTCGAAGCTTACGAAGGAAGTGCCTCGACCGCTATATATATTGCAAAAACGGAAAACTCCAAAGCCAACAGGCGATCGAAGACGTTTGGCAATACTAGTTCTACGGCGAATGGTTCCACTGCGTCGTTTGAGCAATTGAAAGACATGTCGCTCGCGACTAGCATTCGTAGTTTCGATGTGTGCGACTATATTACACTTGCGATCCTTCATTTGATCAACAACGTGCTCTACTTTGGACCGATTTTCATACTGGTGATCATCGTTGAGCAGGGCGATATCCACCCATGGCTGAGCACAATCTGTTTGGCTGTGATTATTTGCGCCTTCTTAGTGGATATCTTTTCCAAGGTTCACGTGGCACGTGTAACGGCTGCTCGCAACAAATCGTATCAGCAGTCATTGATTAGAACTGTGCTGAAATGTTCCTTATCCCACCTACTGATAACGAGCACATCGGATTTGGTTGATCTATTCACGGATAAGATTTCTGCCAGATTTGCCCTGATCAACAGCTGCATTCAATACGCGTGGATTGTCGTGTTTTCGTCAACTTTACTCGTGATCGCCAACTTCTGGACGGTACCCATAGTGTTGCTACTGCTGCTAATGGCTATCGTTTTGATAACCTACTTGAAATACAGTATGCAGCATCTGTACAACCACGAGCATCACTCTAAAAGGCGGATGTTTTCGATTCTGTCCAATCACCTGTCCGGGCGCGCTGCGATTCAATCGTTTGATTACGTTACCACCTTCGTACAAGAGTAAGTACTAAACATCGTTTAAACGTTTACAATGTTTCTATCTAGGTAATAACATTGAATCTATCCCAGCTGGGACGGTATGGCTACTTCTTCTGCCAACTGGAACTTTACGCCTGACCTATATTTTCAGCGATATTTCAGTGGGGTCATCAATATTGAGCCGCTCCGTACTAAATTTGTTGTAATCGAAGTAATTATTCCGAGTAAAATCCTCGGTCGAATCACAACCTTCCTGGCAAAAGTTGCCGAGGAACACGCCCTATATGCTGCTGTAGTCGAACAGAAGGAGAAATATTGAAACACGAAATCAAACTTTTATGGCGGTAAGCTCCAACTCGGATTAACTTTTAATATCGTCTCTGTTTGGCCCCGCGCGTGAAATATCGCTCAAGACGAAATTCATCTTTACGACTCGCGGTATGCATTGCTCCAGCGATTGGCAACAACGTCTCGACACAGCTCCTTAAAACAGTTTGGCTTGCTCTGCTTCATCTCTCGTTTGAGGGGAGGTTCTCATTCAAATGGTCAAAAAGTAAGCTAAGTTTAGAATTTTTTTGTGTGCCAATGAAAAAACATAGAAGGACGTGGTTCTGAAATTCAAAAAGCTTAGACCTTCGTCTTTATTTCCAAATTTTTACAAGGCGAAATAAAAACAAAATGGCGCCCGTTGTCACGTTTAGAGAAAGGTAGTGTACGCCTGGAATAGTCAAACTGCATACAGCCTGGTACCTCAGGATCGATCTGAAACACAACACGATTAATGCGGCTGTAAAGTGAACTAAATTTATTGGAGGAATGACCTAAAAACGGGTAAAAAACTTCAAATTGGACGAAATGGTGCGATCTCAAACTTTTTGGTCGATTTTTCACCTCTTTTTTTCCTCTTGAAGGCTTCAGGAAAAATAGTGAATGCAAAGAATTTGTAGATTTTATAGGTCATTCCTCCAATGAAAAAAGTTTTCTTACGAATGGTCAAAGGTAAAAGTCGCTAAATTAGAACATTTTCAAATGAGATTGTACGCAGTTTTGAAAAATCATGTTTCGAGATAAACGCGTTTAAAGTTTTGGCAACAGTCCCATGGCGGCCGGGATGCCGCTTCGAACAATGGCCTGTAGAAACTTTTCTTGTGCGTGGATCGAAAAACCCTTTCAACACAATATAGTAGACACTTATACCCTTCAAATAATGCAATAGCAAAAAACGATTTTTTGAAATTTTTTAATTAGAACCTCCCCTTAAGTGCGATCGTGGTCGCTCGAAACACTCCTCTACTTTCCTCTCTGTCTGCTTCTGTTCTTGCTCTCTGAACACGTCTTCTGGCTCTGAGACAACTAGTGCGGAGGGTGCTAGGTGCCTCGTTCCGATGTGCGGTAAAAGAGGTGAGGAGAAAGGAAACTAGTGGACTCTTTCGTTCTCGCGTCTTCTTATGCAGCAACAGACGTGACGTCACGTCTGCTGTTGCATAAGAACACCGTCAGAATGAAAGAGTCCACAAGTTTCCTTTCTCCTCACCTCTTATACCGCACATCGGCCTCGTTCCACCAGTAAGCTGAATGCCGTCTATTGGAGAATCAAAGTGACGATTGACTAACACGGAACCGAGGGGGGCGACACATCTAAATCTCAATTCTAGATGTTCAAAAAATCTCACACTAGCGAATCAATCTTCGAAAAATCATCTTTCATTTCTCGCATCTACTTGCATCGCGCATCATCTTTTTGCAGGAAATCTTCAAAATCGACATAAATCTTCCTTCTATCTACTCAGCGTGCGTGCAGCTAGCCACAGCAAAACACAATCTTTTCTGCATCGTAGATAGAGTCGTCCCCCTCGCACGGAACCGAAAAATTACCCAAAATTAAGTTCTTTTCACTCATCTTCCATGTTCTGTTCAATAAGCTAATTTTCAGTAAACCGTTTACATTTGACTACGGCAAAAATAATTACTACCCTACTATATTCTACCCAAAATTAATTTGACTCAATTTTGAGAATATCTCATTTACTTACTAGTAGCTTATTGAACAATAGTCATGAGAAAGTCGAGTCTCTCGTTCCGTTTTTGACAGCAACAAAAAGTGAGAGTGGGATGCAAAACTCAAAATTACCCAAAATTAAGTAATAAGAACTTAAATTTAGGGTATTTTTTTCTCTGTGAACAGATGGCGAGTGGGTGAAAATGGTAATGACTAGGCTTGGCAATAGCGGAGGCTTATTTCTAAAATCGGTTTTCTGGTATTGAAAAATCTAATCCAGTATTTTACGATCGCTTATGGTCGCCACAATCTGGCTTAGTTCCTGGTAGGGAACATAAGATTTGAAGTTTGGCTTGTGTCGTTTGACGTGTAAACGATCAAATTTGAACGTTTACACGTCAAACTGCACAACCCAAACGTCAAATCATATGTTCCCTATATATATATATATATATATGATTTGAAGGTAAAATAACTTCATTTCATACTAAAATTTTTTTTTTGCGTCAATTCCTTTGAGATGGTGCCTGAAAATTGCACCACAAAGGTGCATCAAGGGACAAACTTTAAAGAAATTTGTTGGTCAAAAAATTGCACCACAGTGACAGATACAAAAAAAATCTGGTGTAATTTTTTTTAAAGGGGTTCATGGAGGGTTAAAAGAAGAGGGTAAATTTAAGGTTGAAAATATTTACCTTCGTGGTGGTAAATCTAAGAAATAGATTTCTATTGAATAATTCTGGTGTAAAAATATCATCAAGGTGGTGCATGGAGGGACTAATCGAAATGAATAACTCTGGCGGAAAAATTGAATCACGCTAAAAATTTGGAGGCGCACATTTAGCTGAAAATTTTTGGTGGAACGTTCGCAACACTGTGGTGAATTTAGAAGCAAGGTTTATTCATTTTTCTGGTGCATAATTTGCATCGTTCTGATGAATGCAAGCTTCATTGAAAATTTATGGTGGAAAATTTGCAGCATTCTGGTGCATGAAGAGGCAAAGCCTGAAGCACACTTCAGTAACAATTTTTGGTGCACCGTTCTGGTGAATGGAGGATGCTTTATTGAAAATTTCTGGTGCAAAATTTGTTTCGCTCTGATAAATGAAATGAACAGAAAATTTCTGGTAGAAAACTTGTTCTGGTCTGGTAAATTAAGGAACAAGCTTTATTTAAAATTGAGCTCCATTGAAAACTTGGCTTGTATCATGTAATATAGGCTGTCTTGCAATGAGCACTAGACTGATGTAAAATTTGAAATTTTCGCTCCACAGTACTTAAATGGTTCCAAATTGGGTCCTGCTTAGTCTCCCAAAATTTGAACTACTTTAGTAAGAAACTGACTACGCACAAACCATTTCAAGTTTGTATGGGAATTACTATGGGAAAACTTATGTTTTTGTTCATATGTATCCAACAATTCACCACATCAATATGCTTTTAAAAATGATAGCAGTGATTGTAGAAAATTTTCCCAGCTACAACTTTGTTGAAACCCACTTTTCAATCAAATGTAAGGAACAAAAGTTATTAATGATTCAAGTCACTGATGTCTTATGATTATGCTCATTCAACTGTTCAGCAGGCAGCATTGGTGTTTCTGGTGAGAAGAATAGAGCACAAATATCATGGCTACTATGTCACACTGCAGAATACAGTGTTGCCTACAGAACAGCTGCTTGATCATGCCATAAGATTATCAATCTCTTAAACAATTAATAACTATTTAATTTGACATTTGACTGAAAAACGATATTCCGCAAAGTTGTAGCTTAGAAAAATTCTCATAAGAATAGTTATAGAACTTTTCGAAAAGGCAATATGGAAAATGGGTAGTAGACAATGAACAAAAAGTTTGGTTTTCCCATAGTAATTTCCATATAAACTTCAAATGGTTTGTGCCAAGTCAGTTTCTTACCAAATGAGTTTAAATTTTGGGAGGCTAATCAGGACCTGATTTGAAACCGTTTGAGCACTGTGGAGCGAAAATTTCAAATTTTGCATCAGTCTAATGAGCACTCATACATCTAATTTTCACTAGAAATCCTATACATGAGTGCGCATTGCAAGACAGCCTATATTACATGATATAAGCCATAGTCTGTACGGGGTATAACCATAGAGGTAACTCTAAGACCAGCAGGTCCCGAAGAAACGTGCTCAACTTTTTGGCTCAGCTCTAGTACTATATTCGGTCCCAATCTAATCGATGCACCCCTCGAAATATTGGAAAATCCACGAACCCCTCATTTTATCTGTCAAACTTTCATAGCGAATCAAATCGATTTGCTTGGGACCAATAGGCTAGTTAAGTAGTGAGCCAATTTTAAATCAATAGTTTCGTATTGATTGTTGGCATAACGGTGGAAAATTTGCATCTTTCTGGACAACTGAAATTTTCTGGGGGCAAGTTTTTATTGAAAATTTCTGGTGTAAGATTTTCAACAATTAACGGCGCCGGTGGTGTAGTGGTAAGCGTGATTACCTCTCACCCCAGCAGGCCTGGGTTCAATCCCAGTCGACGCCGCCGGGATGTTCTGAGGCATAACATCTCTGATCACGCCTTCCTTCGGATGGGAAGTAAAGCCGTTGGTCCCCGGTTCATGAGTTGATGGGTCTTTAGGTAGGGTCCAGGTGTGGGAGCTGCCTTCCTGGCACGACGGAAAAAACAAACCAAAGGAAAAAAATAAAAAAAAACCTATTCCTGTAACTTACAAGTACCAAGTATCATTATAACATCTAATGATTTAAAAACTCCGAAAAACATTTTTTTATAGCAAGTGAGTGGAAGCAATCCTGGTTAGGAGTAGTCGTTGTAACCGTTTGGTCACAAATTCATAGGTTTTTGTCATTTATGTTATATATTCAGAACCTTCACGTTTCTTGTGCAAGAACAGCAGTATACCACAGAAGTGATAGGGTTCTGTACCGCTGTGAAAATGTTGTGCCGTTACGTTATGTCCACCTTAGAGCTACAAACAACTATACAAAACAAGGATGACGGGATGACGGGATGAAGGAAAATTGGGAGAAAGAACGGCCATTGCCCGAAATCGGCCTTTTTCAATATCAGGCGTCCGTGTGCTAAGTCGCATTTAATTAGTTAAGTGCAGTGGTTGGTGTTTTTGAACGTGAATCAGGACCCCAGCCAATCGGGTCATCCAACCTTTCTTGTGGCTACGATAATGCACAGGGAGATTTGCTTTCTGTAAATTTTTAATGGCCCTTGGATTCGCAACATTGTTGATTTTTTGTCCCCTTTCGATCTCGGCGTTGTTTTCAGATTTGTAAAACAATTTTGGTTCATCGCAATTGAACACTTGCTCTAGACAATACTGAACACATTTAATTTCCTTTTTGATCAACGATCAAATGGCATCGATTTCCGGCCTCTACACGTTGTCTGCTTTCCGAAAATATCCATATTGTAGGGTATTTTATAGTTTTCTTGAACAATGGGGCCATATTGGATTTCAAAATGGCATCTGGCATCGGTTTCCGGCCTCTACACGTCATCCCTTTTCCGGTTCCTGTTCTCACATTGCACAGCAACATCTTATATGGACAAGCTTTCGAAACATAACATATTAAGGAAGTTCATGTGCACACTAACGCCGCGTAACGAGAGAGTTCTGAAATAATATGACCACCATCCGAAAGGAATTGGTTACTTGATCAACTTTGCTGAAGGCAGTAACTTTGTATATGGTCAAGTTCTCGCGATACAGTTTATACAGGAAGTTCAAATGCACACTAGCGCTGCGTAGTGAGAGAGTTCTGAACTAATATGGATACCAATCAAAAAGGACATGGTCACCTGAACAACTTTGCTGAAGACACCAACTTTCTGTATGGCCAAGATCATGAAATATTCTACGTTGGACCCAAGTTCCATATATTATAGCACCCGTCGAAAGTAACATAAAAGTGAAGCGCCTCTAGCGGCATAGTTCGAAATTAAAGCTGAATCCAATAACACAGGCTTGTTGGTCTAACCTAGTACAGCAACTTTGTCGAAGACAGTATAGCTTTACATATTGAAACAAATGAAATAATCCACCACAGCCCCTATTAGTGAAAATATCATAAGCTGTGGGTATCCTTATTCACGGATATCCCGGCTATAAGGGTCCGGCAATAAGGGATACCGGCAATAAGAAATCAGACAAAACTGTAAGCATTTTGGTAAAGTTTGGTTGAATCGGTTACATTGACCACAACTTTGTGTATGGAATGACCCTTGTTATTTTTTAAACGTTTAAACGGAATTTAGCGTCCTTTTTTGCCTATAGTGCGCTGGAGGCGCATTTATAGGGTACTCTACTTTCCTCAACGAAGACGCTCGATCCTTAACAACAATAGCTCGCCAAATCAGTACGCGCTCCTATTCAATGATAACATTTTCTAATACCTTTCAGTTTCTACAACAACGTGGAAGAGAACAGCACAGCCATCTTCATGCATAAATCAATTCAATACTTTGCCGCGTTCTGGTTGAACTTTGCTGCCTACTTCCTTGGACTTCCCGCTCTTCTACTCATCCTTCTGCTAACGCCCCAATCGGAGCTATCAATCCACCGTTACGTACTAGCGATGTTCTCTTACCTCACACTCATTCACGGCATCCAAAAGTTCGTGGAAAGCACACTGGCAACGACTACTGCCATCAGAAAAATCGACGTCCTCAGAAATAACATTCAGGTTGCTTAGAGCTACTATGCCCTCAAGGTAACACTATTCTAAAAACGCTCTATCTTTAACAGGAACTACAAATCATAGAAGAAACTCCTCGCCCTACGTCGCTGACCAATTCCGACATTGGCGTCTCGGTTACCTTCAAGGACGTGATCTACCGAGTGGCAAACCGGAAGTTGCTCAAAATTTCCAAACTCAACATCCAAGCTGGGGAGACGGTAGCCATCTTCGGGACCGGGAGCAAACTCATCATTCCGTTACTGTGTCGCGTCTTTTCACCCAACCAAGGCGCAGTAAACTTGAACCAAATCGACATAAGCCAGCTGAGCATCGTACAGGTGATGGAACAAGTCGGTGTCGTCCCGGCCGATCCCAGAGCCGGTGGCATCAGCGTGGGAACGTTCCTCAATCCGGATGGAAAACTCCGATCCGAACAGGTAAACGATGTGCTGATCGAGGTCAAGCTGTTCGAAAGCGTAGCAAAACTTCCGAACAAAATCGACGACATGATCGATAGCCTGACGGTGGCCGACAGGCAGCTGTTGTGTTTGGCGCGGTGCTATCTCCGGAAACCAGCGGTAAGGAAGGACATTTTTTTGCCAATAATGGGTAGATGATGAATGCGAACGATTTTTTTTTTAGCTTCTACTGGTGGAACAGATTCATCCGGAAATTATCGACGTTGTCAGTATGGCCCTGAAGAAGAAGTTTGCCGAGCAGACAGTAATCGTCATCGCGTCGCACGAAGTACAGTACAAGAACATCTGCGAGAGGTTAATCAATCTGGATAGTCTGTAAAGCGCGCGTGTGTGTGTGTGGACAAATTTCGGATGGTAGTGATGAAGCGACCAACTTTTTTTTTTTCTAAAGTTGAATACTTTATTTATGTTCAAGGAAAAAGAACCACAAATCGTTTACAAATAAATAAAAACAGTGAAATATATATGTATTCATGTATATCACGAATAGTGTGTTATTTTTTCTTCATTTTTTGTATTTTACTTCTTTTTTTTTGGTATTTTTTTTTTGTCTCCAAACATTACTCGGATCTGATTTGAGTGTTTCCGGTCACAATGTATTATTTTTTTTTATCTTTTTTTGTGTCTTTTTCTTTGACTTGGAAAATATTACTATTAAGCAGCAAAATTGTATATATGTACGTTGTATATATAATATGTATTGTATATATTAGCATACCTTTGTTTTTTTTAATGCATTTTTCAATATATTTGAGTATGTCTCTAATACAAAGTCCTGCAGAAATTTGACTCGCTTTTAAATAGTGTCAACTAAGAAATACCCTGATGATATAATAAGTAAAGGACTACCGATCATATTGGTTTTTTTTTCTGTTCGTTCATTACAAGTTTTTTTTTTTGTTTGTAAGTGTGTTTTACCTTTTGCTTATTTGGTTTTGGTTTCCATTTTGTGAAAATCTACCGTCGAAAGACGACATGCGCACTACATCCAAAAAACAGATGGATTTTTGAACATTCTACCAAACGCGAGGAATATAAAACAGGGGGAGAACACTTTCGAAGGAGAAATTCTGAAGTTCAGGTCGGGTCGTTGAAATGTGGACAACTGAGATTTGAGCCATTTTGGAGAGGTGCAAAACTTGCCTAAGTCCATATTGAAAAATAGTTATTTATTACCGTTGAACTCGTATTTATATACTTGAATGAAGACTCAACGAAGTTCTGAATTGTTATATTCTCAAAAGCTTCTATTGATATGCTTTGGCATAAACATGCATTTATAATTTCAAAGTGCGAATAAATTGCGGATAAATCATGGGCAATTGATAATATAACTCATCCCTAAGAAGGCAACCCTGTAATGAGAATAGCTTCGTCTTTAATTCAGAACACGCGAAGAAACTCATAACTGCTGCTGTTGCTAACTATATAGCATTTGCATCTTATACTGGAGACTTATCAATCGACGAATTGGATACAACTACAATCTTTAGAGAACCGACAATGGCAGTTTTTTTTTGCATGCTGATGAAGTTATGAGCATCAACTGGAACTGATCTATTGACAACGGCGTTAGGCCATTCGCAATGCTGAGTTTCAAAATTGTTTCAAACTACTCGACAGTTCTAAAACGTTAAACTGTAAAAAAATTAAACTGCAACACGCACAGTTTTAACTGGTGTTTGGAATTCATCCCTACATATGTGTGCGTGTGTAAATTTTGTTTGCTTCGGTGATTCGTAATCCAGTATCAGGTAACGAGTTCGAACCACAAGGAGAGGTCCCAGACGGTTCTGCTGTCGAAACATGTAAAGAAAGTATGATTATTTATGGAGATCGCTGATCACCTGATGGTCTTTGAAACAATTTCTGAGCAACCTTATATCGATTCGTGGGTGAGCATCTGAGAGTCATGATTTAAATTTTTGGGCAGTTGGAGCACTTCAGGCTAATACTAAATCAACCTGAAGACATGAGAACATCCTGAGAAGTTTTTGGAGATCTCTGATCACCTGGACGCCTTTGGAATATTTTCTGAGTCACCTGGTATCATGAGAGAATATCTGGGAGATGTGATTTGAATAGTTGGATATGTAGTTTGAGATCTTCATCAGAATAGTACCTGATCAACCTGATCCAGAGGACTTTATAGACATCTTAAAACACATGGAACAATTTCTGAGCTGCCTGGTATCATACGAAACGATATTTGAGAGATGTGATTTAGATTGTTGGATATTTTCAGAATGATAGCTGATCATCCTGAAGTCTTCAAAGGATATCTAAATGACTTCATGGAGATTTTAGAACACCTGAAGGTCATTAGAATAATTTCTAAGTAGCTTGGTGTCATGAGAGAATATCTTCTTGATGTAAAAGACGCAAGCGCTTTCATGAAATTCTGTGAAGATTCATAGATTTCTATGAAGTTCTATAATGTACTATGAAATTCTCAGAACTACTATGATGTTCCCCGAAATTTAATGAAATTGCTCTCACTTCTTTGAAATTACCTACTTCAATGCTACTCTCTGAAACTTTAAAAAAAATACAATTTCCATACAGTTTACTGTTCTCTATGAAGTTCGCCGGTTTTTTGACGTAGGACTACGTCTTTAATTTCTATACTGGGGGTCACATTAAAAAAAAATCAAAATTCAGACATGTAACGAAAAACCCCAAACACGGACGTAACGATAGAGCGCAAAACAAACACACGACACATTGCGCATGCTCACATGAGCAAGCTCACCGCTCGGTTGACCGCTCACTATTCCACCAATGAATGGAAGGGAGTAGAAAAGCAGCGGTAATAAAAACGCTTGCCAAATCGTTTTCTTCGTCTAGGTACGCTACTCTTCCCACCGATGTTGGGAATACCAACCCAGTCCCGGTGAAGCGGACGAAAAAGAGGAAGAAAAATCAAGGACAGTCCGATGGTACGAGCGGACGCGATGATTTTACCGCGACGAACGCCAGCGACATCGGTGATTTCGGCGACGCCGTCGAAAATTCTGCCGGCCCGAGTGCGGCGAAAGTCAAGCTTCCTCCACTGGTGGTGAAGCAAGTACCGCTCAACACGCTGATTGCCGATCTCTCATCGCTGGGCGTTGCAGCTGAGTTTAAGCTCGGCAGGATCGGCACCAAGGTGATGCTCCGTACGAAAGCGGAGTACGACGTGGCCGTGAAATATCTGAAGGATACCAAGGCGGAATTCTTCACGCACGACATCCCCGGTGAGAAGCCCTTCAAGGTAGTCATCAGGGGTCTACCAAACTTCGACCCCAAGATGGTCAAAGCCGAAATCAACCGGTACAAGCTAGCCCCAATCGCTGTCTTCCGAATGACAAGGAGAGATGAAAACGTGAAGACGTACCCGGATTGTCTTTTCCTGGTGCACTTCCAGAAAGGGACGGTGACGCTCAATGCGCTGCAAGCCATCCGATCGATCTACTCCATCATCGTACGGTGGGAGCCATACCGTGGCGGTCATCGTGACGTAACGCAGTGTCAGAGGTGCCTCAATTTGAGACACGGTACCCGCAACTGCAACATCAAGCCACGCTGCAGCAACTGCGCTCAAGAACACGCCACTTCCAACTGCCCTGCGGATGGAGCCGTGGCGTTAAAATGCGCTAACTGTGGTGGTGCACATCAAGGCTCTGACAGACAGTGCTCCAAACGCGAGGACTTCAAACGCATCCGAAAGCTGGCGTCAAGCAACAATCAACCAGGACGAAAGAAGGACAAAACCCCATCATTCAGGACGGAGCATTTTCCGCCTCTTCGTGCTCCCCAGCAAAGGCAAGTGAATTCGCGGGTGCAACCCGCCCCCCCTCAAGAAGCTTCCGGTGATTCTGCTGGCCAAAGCTCTCCATCCTCCCCTGGATTCTGGAGACAACCAACAGCGCAAAACAACAACCCCGATCTGTTCTCAGCGGATGAACTTATGGAAATTTTCGTCAACATGTCCGGTGCTCTTCGTAAGTGCCGCAATAAGCCCGAACAGATCCAATTGCTCGGTAAGTTCATCATCCAGTATGGCGTCTAAACCGCTAACTATCGTCACCTGGAATGCTTGCTCTGTAAGAGCAAAAAATATTGAGTTTGCCGCCTTCCTCCGCAAGCACAGCATCGACGTGGGCCTTCTAACCGAGACCCATCTAAAGTCCGGCGACAGCTTCTGGTTGCCTGACCACAACATTATTCGGCTTGATCGCACCAGCTCCAGGGGGGGGGGGGGGGTGGTGTTGCGGTCGTCGTCAAGAAAGGAATAAAATACCACACTCTGTCCCATATCCGCACCTCTATCATCGAGGCCCTTGGTGTGGAGGTGAAGTCGTCGACTGGATACGTCCAGTTCATCGCTGTCTACTGCCCTCGACAGTGTGCCGCCAGCAGTGGACTAGCGGCTAAATTCAAGAAGGACCTGTCCACCATCACCCGTACCGGTTCCCGCTTCGTAGTTGGAGGAGATCTGAATGCTCGCCATGAGGCCTGGCGGAACTACCAGCAGAACCAGAACGGTCGTCTCCTGTTCGACCACTCACAGCATGGGCTGTACTCCGTTTGGTTTTCGGATGAACCAACATTCATCTCACCGGCGGGCAACCCATCGACGCTAGACCTGTTCCTGACAAATATCGGCTTGTCCAAGCCGGTAGCCTTGAACGAACTCAGCTCCGACCACCAACAGGTGGTGGCTGAACTGGGCTGCAACGTGGCTCCTGCTTCAAACCTGCACAAGGACTACCATCGCGTAAACTGGGCCCAGTTTGGACGCGTGGTAGACAGGCACATCATCGACAACCCGCCGCTTGACACCGTGGAGGACATCGACCGAGCGTTGGAGGGACTCCACCAAGCCATAACCGTGGCTGACGAGGCGTGCGTCCGACGAGTTTATTGCCATTGCTTCCCACACCCAACTTTTGATTCGCCTGAGGAATGTTCGTAGACGCCAGTTTCAGAGGACCAGAGATCTGGGCAAAAAACGTGAAATGGCTGTATCTAAGTCCACGTCCATGGCCTTGTTAGACGTTGAAAAGGCGTTTGACAATGTTTGGCATGACGGACTTGTGTACAAGCTTTGTAACTTCAACTTCCCATTACATCTGGTTAAAATCACCCGTAGCTATCTTCAGCAAAAGTCGTTTAAGGTATCATTGAATGGTTGTCTTTCAGACACGTTTTCCATCCCAGCAGGAGTCCCGCAAGGCAGTCTGCTGGGCCCCTTGCTTTACAGCATTTACGCTTCCGACATTTCTCCCCTTGGAGACGGTTGCGTGTTTTTCCTGTTCGCAGATGATACCGCAATAGCCGTCAAAGGAAGGATGCCTCGCGAAATAACTAACAAACTTCAATGATGCCTTAACGCCTTTGCTGATTATGCCACCACGTGGAAAATTAAAATCAATCCTTCCAAAACACAAGCGATCATGTTCCTCCATTGGCAATCGCCCAAACTAAAACCGGCTCCATCTTGTACT